CTGCAGGATACGGTCCAGGACCCTCCCGCACAGGGTCCTCCTGCGTGAAGTGCTTCAGGGCCAACCAGTCTCATTTCTCTTTGACCCCTACTGCTCATTCCGGTCACTGGGCACTGGGCACACACTCATCCCCCACATCATGACTTCAGGCCACGACTCATGGCTCCACACTTGACACTTGAGCTGAATATTTTGACTCCTATAGTATCTTGCTTCATATACATGGTCAGAAGCACCACAGAGAATTTTCCCTGTGACCTGTTGCGCCAAGACCCGGGGCACAAACTGCTTGCCATGGACAGAATGCAAAGTAGACGAAATTTATCATTGGTGCTTTCTAATAGAGCTTCCCCTCCCCATATGTTACTCAAACATGTGGAAGGTTCTATGTCTATGTACCCTGCCTTCTCCCTACTCTTTTTCTTTCCAATGTGGAAACAATAATAACAACAACAGACATTTTACTGTGTGCCAGATACTTTTCTAAGCACTTCATAAGTATTAACTAATTTAGTCTTGCTAACAATCCTTTGAGGTAGATATTATTATTACTCTCCTTTTACAGATGAGCAGACTGAGTCACAGAGAAGTTAAGAAACTTGCCTAAGGTCACAAAGCTGGGATTCAAAGCGAGGCATTTAATTACGATGCTATGCTGCCTCACCGATAAAATAATATATTGTTTTTTTCTGATACTGAAAATAATGCCTGCTAAGTATTTTTAAGAAATCAGACAATAAACGAAGTATAAGGAGACTATCACCCAGGGAGAATTAAATAACCTACTCAGGCAAATATAAATACTCATTAGTTCCTATTTCAGAAATGGAACTGTACCGCACATCATTTTTTGTCTTTTAGTTCAAAATTTTAAACAGCTTCATTGAAGTATAATTTATATACTATAAGATTTGCTTGTTTTGATCATACAAATAATTTTAGCAAATTTACAGAGTTTTGCAACCATTACCACAATCCAGTTTTACACCATTGCATCACCCCAAAAAGATTCCTTATACCCATTTTCACTCCCCATTCCCATGCCCAGCCCCTGGCAACTGCTAACCCATTTTCTCTATATATTGATTTGTCTATTTTGGACATTTCATATAAATGGGAACGAACAGTATGTGCTATTTTAAATCTGACTTCTTTTACTTAGCATAATGTTTTCAGAGTTCAGCCTTGCTATAGCATGTATCACCACTTTATCCCTTTTGATGACTGAATAATATTCCATTGTAAGGATATACCACATTTTGTTTATTCATTCAACTGTTGATGGACATTTGGATTGCTTCAAATGAATAATGCTGCTATGGATATTCATGTACAAATCTTTCTGTGAATATATGTTTTCATTTCTCTGGGGTATATATCTAGAAGTGGAATTATAGAGTCATATGGCAAAGTTTTCCAAAATGACTGTGCTATTTTATATCCCCACCAGCCATATATGATAATTCTAGTTTCTCCACATCCTAGCCAATACTTGCTATTATGTTTTTGATTAGAGCCATCCTAGTGGGTGTGAAGTGGTATCTCGTTGTTTTGATTTGCATTTCCTTAATGACTAATGATATCGAGCATCTTTCTATGTGCTTATTTAGCAGGTGAATATTTTCTTTGGTGAAATGTCTTTTCAAATATTTTGCCCATTTTTCAATTGGATTATTCGTCTTTTTATTATTGAATCACAAGAGTTCTTTTTTTTTTTTGTGAGGAAGATCAGCCCTGAGCTAACATCCATGCTAATCCTCCTCTTTTTGCTGAGGAAGACCGGCTCTGAGTTAACATCTGTTGCCAATCCTCCTCCTTTTTCTTTTCCCCAAAGCCCCAGTAGATAGTTGTATGTCATAGCTGCACATCCTTCTAGTTGCTGTATGTGGGACGCGGCCTCAGCATGGCCGGAGAAGCGGTGCGTCAGTGCGTGCCTGGATCTGAACCCGGGCCGCCAGTAGCGGAGCGTGCGCACTTAATGGCTAAGCCACGGGGCCGGCCCACAAGAGTTCTTTATATACTCTGCATTTAAGTCCCTTATCAGAGATCTGGTTTCCAAATATTTTCTCACAGTCTGTGGCTTATCTTCAGTTTTTTAATGGTGTCTTTAGAAGCACAAAGGTTTTGGGCCGGCCCCATGGCTTAGCCGTTAAGTGCGCGTGCTCCGCTACTGGTGGCCCGGGTTCGGATCCCAGGTGCGCACCGATGCCCCGCTTCTCCAGCCATGCTGAGGCCACATCCCACATACAGCAGCTAGAAGGATGTGCAGCTATGACATACAACTATCTACTGGGGCTTTGGGGGAAAAATAAAAAATAAATAAATAAAATTAAAAAAAAAAAGAAGCACAAAGGTTTTGAATTTTGATGTAGTCAATTTATCAATTTTTTAAATCACTTTTGCTTCTGGTGTCATATCTAAGAAGTCTTTGCCTAACCCTGACATATTTTAGAATTGCCACTCTCCCCACCCCTCAACTTATCAGTATGTCTTGGACATTTTTCTAAGTCAGCAGATACAGATCTGCATCATCATCTTTCCTAGCTTTGGTTTCTGGGAAGAAGGGAGGGAAGAAAGTAGACAACAGAGGACAGAGTACTCAAAATATCCAGGATGACTGCTTTTATCCTTGAGGCTTTCATTTCTCCTTTGGATTGTCTGGTTTCTGGTAGCTCCTCTACGGTTTGTGAATAAAAACTTTACTATAAGCTGTTACCTTCATCACAACATTTTATATTTGAATATTTTGGTCACATAGATTCCTAGCCCCAAATTTTCTGTAGGCTTGAATCCCTCCATTACAGAGTCTAGTAATGGGGTGCTCATGAGAAACGTATGTTCTCCTGTAATTTGGGATTTGACAGCCGCTGCTTCCTGTGTCTACTTCATTCTCTAAAGCTGGACTTGGGAATGATTCAGCTCCAGTTATGTATTAAAGTGTACATATGGAGAAAGAAAAGTAAATAGTGGATAACAGCAATTGGCATGTATGTGTTAATGGAAGACTTAGGGATATTCCTGAACAAAATAGTGGTTATCATTTAAAAGGTTCCAGAATGGGATGAATGGTTGCATCCTGGCCTCTGTCAGGAGCAGAGCTTCACTGGCTTGATGGGTAGGATATAAAGTGTTGTGTAAAGCTAGAACCTTCTTTAGGAAATAATTTTCAGACAGAGAACACTAATGGAGAAAATCCAGGCTGGAGGAAAGAGCCTGTGAGAGGGGCCTCAGAATAAAAATGGGAAAGGCGGGCTAGAGGATTTCAGAGCTCAGTGCTGAAAATGCTAATGTGCCGAAAGAGAGGGTCACCGGACAACCATTTTGATGAGAAACCAAGTGAGGTGGCCACGATCATTTAGAGACTCCTAACCCCTTAGGGCTGGGGCCCAGAATTTGGAACCTGAGTACTAACACTGGTGAAAAGCAAGGAGACTGGGAGAGAGATGTAAGGGCAGCCCCAGGCTGGACAATAGTCATTGCAAGGTTAGGGAAGTGGCACAGAGCAAAGAGATCAACAAAGAGTTCCTCCAAGCTGGTAGTTAACTACATGAAGCTGAGAAATGCAGAGAGAGATCAGTTCAAGTCCTTTGAGGCTTCGGTCTTTTTTTTTTTGCTGAAGAAAATTCGCCCAGAGCTGACATTTGTTGCCAATCTTCCTCTTTTTTTTAAATGTGAGTGACCACCACAACATGGCCACTGACAGAGGAGTGGTGTGGTTCTGCCCCTGGAACCGAACCCAGGCTGCCAAATCGGAGCACACTGGACTTAACCACTAGGCCATCAGGGCTGGCCCAAGAGTTTGGTCTTTAACTTTTGTGTTTCACAGGGAAAACTAGACCAAGCTACTGCAGGGGCCTGCTGCTGTGTGCATGGAATATACTGGAAGACTAGGAAACAGAGACCAGCTGGAAGCTACTGCAGAGATTCAGACACAAGAAGGGTTGGCCTTAGAGGGACACACGAGTGCGTAGGAGGAAATGATCAGAAGACCTTAGGGATGGATCTGCTGTGCAGGTGCGGAGAAAGGAGACAAACATGGCTGCGGTGGGGGTGGGGGAAGGCTGTAAGATGATCCAGGGTTTTTTGGAGATATCTTTATATACTGTAAAATGCACAGATCTTAAGTGTAGAATGAGCTTTGATAAATGTCTACATCCATGTAACCAATCCCCTAAAAGAGGTTTTTTAAAGGCTGAGTTCCACTTGATGCAGAGCCTAAGCGAAGCTGCCACAAAGGCAAGAAGCTACATGCAAGAAGCAACATGGGCTGGACCTACAGATCTGAAAGTTCTCTGGAGCCTGTAGGTGGAAATTTCGTGAGCAAAAGAACACAGGTGCAGGAACGGCTAACTGCAGAAGAGAAAGGCCCAACCTTTTACATTTTTGGCGCGCTTGAGCCCCCCACACTGAGGGTTTTATTTGCTGATGTAGGTGCAGAGACTTATCTTTTCTCAAGCCTTCAACCTCATACTTAATTCTCTTAAGTGAGAAAGAAACCACTCTCGGAGTTGGCTTCTGCCAACGTCTGCCCTACCAAACGTGGAGGATGGCCTCGTTGGGGGAAGGGAAGGGAGGACCCCACAGGGCGGTCTGCAACTCCCCCCAGCAGCACGCACGGCGATGATGCACAACTATGCTTTGAGCCGGGAAGCCCAGCTTCCTCGGTGCAGCGTGCTCTGGCAGCCCACCCTCGCTGGGTACCTCGGAAAGTACAGGAATCACACTGTCTCCGGGTCGCTCTGCACCTCTCGGTGCGCTTGCAGCGACCCTGCAGCAACGCCCTCGGTGTTTGCAGCCGGTGCAAGCTTGCACGCGGCTGGAGCGCGGTGGCTAGAGTTGGGGGGCATTGGGCGTGGCCGCGATCCCTCGCGCCGTCTCCCGCCCAAGCAGTCCCGGGAACATTCTGAAAAGTATCCAAAAGTTCTCCGCCGCGCGCGCGCGCGCCAAAAGGAAAAAAAAAAAGGGCACAACCCCCCACCACTCTGGGCGTTGCACGTCGCGACCTCGCCATTCGGGCTGCACCTCCGGCTGCAGCGCACACGCCTCCTGCGCCTCCTCCTCGGGAGCCTCGCCGTCGGTTGGGTCCTTCCCTTGCAGCCGTCTCCAGAGACTCCTTGCGCTTCTACTTGGGGCACCATGCCCAACGACGACGCATTCAGCAAGCCCTCGGCACCGTCGGAGGCCCCGCACGCCCCCGGGGCACCACCGCAGGGGAAAGCCGGGGGCTTCGGCAAAGCAGCAGGAGCGCTACTGGGCTCCGCGGGCGCCGGGGGCAGCGGCGGCGGCTCGGGCTCGGGGGCGTCGGGCATGGGCGCTGCAAGCAAGAAGTCCCCACGGCTGCCCAAGTGCGCGCGGTGCAGGAACCACGGCTACGCGTCGCCGCTCAAGGGCCACAAGCGCTTCTGCATGTGGCGGGACTGCCAGTGCAAGAAGTGCAACTTGATCGCGGAGAGACAGCGCGTGATGGCCGCGCAGGTGAGTGCGGGCGCCCAGGAACCGGGGTTCAGCCCTGAACTTTTTGGACAAAATCTTCCCGGCGTGGCCAGTGCCACGTGGGGCCCGGGTTTGGGAGGCAGGCAGCGGTGCTCGCCGACGGCCGCATTGCGCTCGGGACCCGGGCCTCCCAGCCACGCGCCCACGCCGCGCTCAGATGGCCGGGACGCGTCTCCTATCCCGCCCGCGGAGCAGAGAGTTGCGGCGTTTGCTTCTCTCAGGGGGAGCACGGGATACCTGATTCGGCCGTCCAGCGGAGTTGCGGGGTTCGCCCCTTCAGGGGTCCTCCGGATCCCCGAGATCTCTGATCCCGCTTTCAGAGCAGAAGTTGCGGAGTTCGCTCCGCTCGGAGTCCCGGGGACCCCTGAGCCCACCCTGCCGCAGCGAGTTGCCGGGTTCGCCCCTCCGAAGGTCCCCGGGATCTCCGACTCCCAACAGAGACTTGCCGAGTTCGCGCCTTTGGGGATCTCTGACGCTACACCCCAGCAGAGAGTGGTCGGGGTCGCTCTTTGGGGGACCTCGGCATCTCCGACCTCATTTTCCGAGCAGAGTTGGGGGGTTCGCTCCTCTCGGGGATCCCCGGGATCCCTGACTCCGCCCCCCAGCAGAGAGTTGCGGTGAAACTAGGGAGGGTGCTCGAGGGTGCCGGCGCGGGCTACCGGCTGGGGCGAAACGGAGACGCGGCCCGCCTGCTGCTTATCCGGATAACGTGTCGGGAAGCTTTGTGTTTCTGGAAAAGTCGCTGTAATGGACGCCCACGTGGCGTGGTCCTCCTTGTGGTCTTGGCGCACTTTTCCTCTTCGCCCGGCGTGGATCCAGGCCGAGCTCCTCAGCCATTTTGAGCACTACGGAAATTTTATTAGCATTTTAAAATGTGTTGTTTCGACCTAAATTCTTCAAGTACGAATCACACTGAGTATATTTTAAAACACACTTAATTTTAAAAAACATGCGCAGGGGAGAAAATGCGGAGGTTGGAGGTTTTGTTTGTCGTTCATAGCTTTTTAAATTTCTTTTTAAATCAGCATAAGCAGGACAGCATTTAACATTTTATCGGAAATAATTAACGGCATCGGTATCCTAAAAGGATTTTTAGAAGAGAATAACATACATTCTTTCCAGCTAAAAGTTGTTTTATCTTTTTAAGACAGGTTATTTAAAATGAAAAGATACTGAAGAAATGTTTACTAACGATGTGCTACTTTTGATTGGAAACGTGTAAATATCCTCCACTGAAAATAATTTAGATAAGAGCTTTGGGCAGGACTGCACAAATGCTTAAAGATGATACTTATTCTGTACATCCGATTTTTAAAAATGTGTTTTAAACTAGATATATTTTGGCTTCAAAGATTGCAAGTGCAGTCATGGAAATGTAAGTTGTTTTCCTTAGTTTCTTCTTTATAGGTTTTTAGCTTAATTTATAGTGGATGAAAAGAATACACTGAATGTAGCATTAATGCATCACAGTGAACTTACTGAAAAAAACTTATGGACATTTAAATTGTATTTGTAGGTAGAAAAATAATCTGAACATTTAGTCGTTGGCTTAAATATTTAGCATGGAGAGTATGCTTGGGAGGGGAATTTTCCTCAAAATGTAATTAACAATATTTGTCCAAGTAGGGCCATTAATTTTGAATAAGCTTTATTAATAGGGGCATTAACTTGGCAGAAGCCTGTTTTTCTATGTTAAATACAGAAGCAACTCAGGATTACTTTTATAATATGAAACTTAAGTATTTTCCTCACCAGAAGGCTTGTGCTGTGCTAGATGAAATCCTTTAAAATCCATGTAACAGTCATTTTTCAGTCATTCTAAAGTAGTTTGAAATTGATCTTAGATATGACTCTGAAATAATTGCTTTTTTAATCGGTTGCCCCACCTTCCCCGTTTAGATAACATTTTCTAAAACTCTCGAGAGGTGTTTGTAAAAGTGTCCTTAGTTTATGGAGTATATGTAATACCCTGTGCATTTTGGGCAGGCATGAGATTTGTGTAAGTCAGGGTATAAGTATGCATTGACATACTTCAGAGGTTTGTGGGTATTTTTTAAAATTATTTCTGGTCAACTGCTTAATATTCTGTTTCTAAACTTCTTGATTAATAATAGAAAATCCAAGATTTAAGCTTAATTATTTAATCTTCATTGATCATTTATGGATATTTTTTCTCTGTTGAAGATTCTTCTTGTTAAGAGTAAAATTAGTTCCAAATTAATCAGCTGTCTAAATTTGGACTACAGTTTTCCTAAAACAATATATAAATTGTAGTTGTGTTTCTGGTTTACCACTTTGATTTCAACTTTTGGCTTGTATTTGGGCTTCTGAGGTGCAAGTGCTTCTTTCTAATTTCATTGTCGCCAATAGTCAATTTCAACAGAAAGTCTCCTTTTTTTTGTTACATGTAGTAAGCAAAAATACAATTTATTTTCTTTACACCTCTTTTTTCAACCTTTAACAATGTGATTTAAAAGAAGATAAATTGAAGAGGTGGCATGAGGCGTTTCTTAGGTGTGTTAGGTCCTTTCCAGCTCCCTCTTCTGTCTCCTTCCCTGCTGCCTGGAATGTCACCCATCCTCTCCCTTTCTCTCCACCTCCAGCCTCTCCCTTCTCCAGGGACTTCAACACCACGTCCCAGCCCTTTTCCCCATTACTTCTCTGCATGCTCTCTCCACCTCAGAGAACAGGGCTCTGCAGGGTTTCTCAAGCAGCCCCTGCCTTTCCTGCCCACTCTGCTCCCTTTTTCCGGATTGTTCTGCCTGTTCATCCTTGCCTCTCTAGGTTCTCCTCATCCTGTTCTTCAAGGCCCCTTTCCAGTACACCCTCAGGCTGATACTTGCACCTAAAGCCATTGGTGTCTCCTTCTCCTGTGGTGTTTGCCACATTTCATCTTGAGTTGCATTTGTATATTTGCCTGCCTACTGTTTCTCCTTTTAAACAGTGAGTACCTTGGGATCTAATTTGATTAAATCTTGCTGGTCACTGTTCCCAATACAGTGGACTTTTACAAATTTGTGGAATGAAAGAGTGCGTGAGCCCATTCTCCTTCCTTCCTCATCTATCAATGCTGACATCCTTTACTCTTTTTTTTTTTTTTTAAAGATTTTTTATTTTATTTTTTGCCCCCAAAGCCCCAGTAGATAGTTGTATGTCACAGCTGCACACCCTTCTAGTTGGTGTATGTGGGACTCGGCCTCAGGCTGGACAGAGAAGTGGTGCCTCGATGCGCACCCGGGATCCGAACCCCGGACCGCCAGCATCGCAGCGCACGCACTTAACCACCAAGCCACAGGGCCGGCCTCCTTTACTCTTCAGAGTGAAGTCCTCTGCGTGGCTGACTCTAGTTTTTCCTGATCTTCCCTAGCCAACCTTATTCCCTGCTGCTCTACATACTCATTTATTTAATGAATTTTGTTTTGCTGAGGAAGATTAGCCCTCATTCCTCCACTTTACATGTGGGTTGCTGCCATAGCATGGCTGGTGAGTGGCGTACGTCAGCCCTGGGATCTGAACCTGTGAACCCAGGCTGCAGAAGCAGAGCCCGCCTAACTTAACCACTACTCCAAGGGGGCTGGCCCCTAAAGATCATTTTTTGAGCACTTACTGTGGGCCAGACACTCTGGCTCTAAATCATTTCTCAGCTTTGGCTGCACATTGTGGTTACCAGCCTAGCTTTAAAAAGAAATTGGAGATCCTCAGGCCTCACCCCTGGAGCTAATGAACCACAATGTGTGGGATGGGCGGGGTTTCAGTGGTTTTCTCCAAGCTGCCCAAGTGATTCTGGAGTGTTGGAGGATGACCCGCTGCCCTGTGCTTCTAGGTGGCCCTGAGAAGGCAGCAGGCCCAGGAAGAGGAATTGGGGATCAGCCACCCCATCCCGCTGCCCAGCGCGGCTGAGCTGCTCGTCAAGAGAGAGAACAGCGGCAGCAACCCGTGCCTGATGACTGAGAGCGGCAGCTCCGCGCAGCCCCCGCCGGCCAGCACCCCCACCGCTGCAGCTTCAGGTAACCTGGGGCCTGGGTTCACGTGGTCGCCGGGCCTCAGGGAAGAAGGGCTGTGGCCACAAAAAGTCTTAGGACCGTTCTGAGCCACATATCACATTCAGAGCTTGGAGGGTTTTCTTAACGGAGTCTCCCTCTGAAGGTCTGTTTTTGGCTGCCTCACCAAAGAGATGGCCATGAATTCTATAATTGGATGTGACAGCTTCACTTTCCTGTTGGTTATTAGCCAAGACTGAATCTGGACAGTCAGAATCACAGAAAGTCAGAGGAGTGAGATTCCGAGATTTCAGCTCAGTCTACCCCTCCATTTTTGGGTCCTCTTGTTGGGAGCTAAAGATCCTTGTTTCCCAGAACTGAAGGTCCCTTTCTCTGGCAAGGACTGCAGTTGATTTGGGGAAAGTGTCTTGAAAAAGCCAAATCCTAGGTGTCAAGTTTCAGTGGGCACTGGGTAGTGAGGGAAGACATGTCACATCGGCTTGAATTCTTTTCTGTGTGCTACGACTGTACCAGGGGCTGTATGTGCTCATTCATTTCGTTTCACTCTCTGAAGAAGGAGTTATTAATCCTATTTTACACATGGGAAAACAGGTGTAGGAAATTGAAGTGACTGGCTAAGTCTGCAGAACTAGAAAGTATCTGAATTGGTCCATCTGCCTCCAAAGCTCGCTGTGCTAACTGCCTGGATCTCCAAATTACCTCAAGAATCATGAGGTCTAAAGCTGCACCGTCCAATATGGAAGCCCCCAGCCATTTGTGGCTATTGAAGTTAATTACAATGAAATAGAATTAAAATATTCATCCAAAGGAGATATACTAATGGCCAATAAGCACATGAAAAGATGCTAAACATCACTGATCATTAGAGAAATGCAAATCAAAACTAGCGTGAGATACTACTTTCCCTCCCCCCCCCCCCGCCCAAAGCCCCAGTAGATAGTTGTATGTCACAGCTGTGCATCCTTCTAGTTGCTGTATGTGGGACGCGGCCTCAGCATGGCTGGAGAGGCGGTGTGTCAGTGCACGCCCAGGATCCGAACTCGGGCCGCCAGCAGCGGAGCGCATGCCCTTAACCGCTAAGCCACGGGGCCTGCCCCTGTGAGATACTACTTAACACCCATTAAGACAGCTACTATCAAAAACACAGAAGATAACAGTATTGGCAAGGATGTGGAGAAATTGGAAGCTTTGTGCACTGTTGGTAGGCATGTAAAATGGTACAGCTGCTATGGAAAACAGTATGGTGGTTCCTCAAAAATTAAAAATAAAATTACCATATGATCCAGCACTTCCACTAATGGATATATACCCGCAAAAATTGAAAGCAGGGTCTTAAAGAGATATTTGTGCACCCGTGTTTATAGCAGCATTATTCATAATGGTTAAACGTGGAAGCAACCCAAGTGTCCATTGACAGGTGAATGGATAAGCAAAATGTGATATACACATACAGTGGAATACTATTCAGCCTTAAAAAGGAAGGATATTCTGACACAGGCTACAACATGGATGAACCTTTAGGACATTATACTATTGAAATAAGCCAGTCACAGAAAGCTAATACTGTATAATTCCACTTTGTAGTCAAAATCATAGAGACAGAAAAAATAGTGATTGCTAGGGGCTGGGGGGAGGGGAGAATGGAGAGTTATTGTTTAATAGAGTTTAACAGAGTTTAACAGAGTTTCAGTTTTACAAAATGAAAAGAGCTATGGCGGGGCCGGCCCTGTGGCTTGGTGGTTAAGTGCGCGCGCTCCGATGGTGGTGGCCCGGGTTCGGATCCTGGGCGTGCACCGAGGCACCACTTCTCCGTCCATCCTGAGGCTGAGTCCCACATACAGCGACTGGAAGGATGTGCAGCTATGACATACAACTATCTACTGGGGCTTTGGGGGGAAAATAAATAAATAAATAAAATCTTTAAAAAAGAAAAGAGCTATGGAGATGGCTGGTGGTGATGGCTGCCCAACATTATGAACGTGTTTAATACCACTGAACTATGCACTTAGAAATGGTTAAGGTGGTAAATTTTGTATTATATGTATTTTACCACAGTAAAAATAAAATAAAAGAAATTTAAAACATTCAATTCCTCAGTTGCACTAGCCACATTTCAGGTGCTTGATAGGTGCATGTAGCTAAGGCCTGCCATATTGGATAGCGTGCATTTCCATTTCTCACAAAGTTCCATTTGACAGCGCTAGTCTAGGGTGTAGGAGCTCTAAGAAACCACCAAAGATGAAATCCTGTTGGCAAATAAATACATATATTACATATTAGATACATATGCTGAGATTCACAGAATACCTTTAGAGCCTGCTAAGGCTCCATGAAATCCAGCCCTGCAGTGTGGTACCTCTTAACTAAGCTTGTCCTGAGTTACTCAGTTTGCTGCACTTAACCCCGAGGCTAAAGTTGCTCAGCTGCCTGTCATGAACTAGCTGTGCAACTTGGAACGAGTCACTTAAGCTCTCTGGACCTTTTGTTTCCTCTTCTCAAAAATGAGGGAAGAGGTTTTGAAGATTTTCTGAGTCTTGACCATTATAAAGAAGGGGAAGGTAAGCAGGCACCGGAGAAAGCAGGTGAGAGGTGGAACTGTCATCCCTGTGTTGCAGGTAGGTGTGTCTGTCACTGTGTGTGTTTCTTGGGCTATAGATTTGTAGTTTACAAAGGGAACTGTATAATTTCCTTTTTTGGCTTGATTGCTCATAATATATACTTAAAACAGTTCCCAAACTTTCCTTTTCATCGGAAGGAAGGAGTATATCTATCAGAAATATGATCTTTACACTTTGGAATTTTAAGCTGTCTAAGGTTAATGACCACATAATCCCTGGTCAGGGCTGATCTGGTGGGTTTAGCTGGAGTGCTGAGAAGGGAACAGGGGTATGTCAGAGGAGTAAAGAGGCGCGTACCTCATTTGGTGTTCACAAACATCGTATCGGGGAGGAATTATTATTCCCATTTACAGAAAAGGAAACCAATGGTAAGGAACCTGCCCCAGAATAAAGCTGAGTTGAGCTGAGATTCAGTTCAGGCCTCTCTGGTCCCAAAGCCCATGGATTTTCCATTTCATTTGCCTGTGAAGAGAGCCTGTGGGAACAGTTGCCATGTTTTCTTGGAAAATGAACAATTATGATTGGAAGCTATGGTTTAATCCCCAGAAGGGATTTAGGGCTAATGGACAAATAGGAACAATGTTAGGGGCAAAAGCCCCTGCCATTCTCCCTTGGCATGGAAGGCTGCAGCCACGGATCTTCTTGGGGAGAAATACAGGGAAAGGCCTGTGATGGATAAATATCAGTGCTGGGCATTTTGTAGGACACCATAGGTGAACTTGGTCTAGCTTGCTGTCCTGCATTCCACCTTGGTGGAAGGGGTGTCAGAGTTTGATACCCCAAGAAAGCAGAGCTTTAGAGAAGGATTTGAGGCTGGACGGAGTTCAGAATGAAGAAGTTCTTGCAGGGTATTTCTGAGTGGCGATAGGGAAAGTTACAAATAGAAGCAGCAGGGGAACAAGATAGAAGGTTCAGGATGGATGGATGGTTCATGGAGGATGTGACCAGATTCCTTTCCTTGCCTCTGGAGCTGATGGACCTTGGAGTCATTTTGGAGTCATGAACCAAACTCAGAAGGAGGGGAGTGTGGAAGCCGACAGTGTGCTGTGTGCATGTGCTCAGGCCTGGGTGGGTTGGCATCGCTCTGGAGACTGCCTGCCAGGGGAAGATGGGCCCAGCCGGCTCATCTCCGTGGGGCGGGAGCCTCAGCATCATCGTCATCACACCCAGGGCTTCTGCCACAGCTCTTGAGGTGGGATTGATAACTTCTGGGCTGGGCTGGGATATGAGCAAGAGAAAAACAGAGATGCCAGTGGAATTAAACTACATAAATGTATAGAGGGAGAAAGAGAGAGGGAGGGAGCGGGGAGAGTGGGGGAGAGACAGACAGACAGACTGACTGACTGAACAGCGTCTTTCTAGTTTATGCAGTGCACGGGGCCCAGCTTCTTAGATAGCTTGCTGCTAACAAATCTGTGCTTCTCTTAAATTTCCAGAGATGAGGATTTATTTAAAATAACATTTAACTTTATGCAGGTAAATGGTAAACATTTATAGAGTGCAAAAACATTTTCAACAAAAAATAATAGTTCTTCTAGTCCCAACCTGCGGGTCTCTTCTATCTGTCATTCCCGGGTTACTTGCTGCATGTACAAGTTAATACGTCTATTTATTGTTTTCATGCATATATATATAATTTATATATTTAACATCATGGGAGTGTGTTATTCCCACTTGTGTATAGTTAGGTTTATTTTTTAATTTAAAACTGCTTGGAATTTTTATATGGCCATTTTAATTTAATTCCATTAGATAGATGTGGAAGGCTAGGATTTGCAGTTATTTAGTGAGAGGTGAAAGTTGTAGTTGTCATGCAATAGTTAAACCTACTAACTTGGCTCACACGGGGGCAAGTTGCTAGCCTTCTCTTTCTAAGACCTAATATTTAGCGTCTACAAGGGCAGGAGCTTAGTGAAATTCAGTAGATTTTTATGTCCTTGAAGTTTCTTAGTTATCTGTTTGGCTCCCAAAAATGCCAAAAATGAGAATGAGAAATGCCCAAGAATTATTGCCAAGATTATTGGCTGGATTCTGAGGACACTGCGAAGGAAATTAGATTTACCAAGCTGTTGTTTCATTTATTGGAGAGCTGACCCCTCTGACTAGGATTAAGTACCTTAGAAGCAAGTCGCTACAATCCTTAGCCAAAGATTGGCTCAGATGCACCAAAACACTGACTGGAGATTCCTCAAATAATGAGTATAAAAGATTTTTGTTGTTATTTTTCATCTATGATTGTGGGTATTACTGTGGAAGAAACAGCCTTTTGAAGAAATGCCCTGTGCATTGCTGTTTCTAGCAGGATCAGATGTTAGCAGATGCACTGTTCATGAGCAAATAGTTTCTTCCTGGCCATTTCGGGGGCACCCAGAAAAAAATGGTGAGCAT